CAGTGAGGTCATATGATACATGTCTGTCTCTGATTGACTTATTTCGCTTAGCATAATACCCTCCAGTTCCATCCACGTCGTTGCAAATGGCAAGATCATTCCTTTTGATGGCTGCATAATATTCCATTGTATATGGCACTCTCCTGTGTAAATCATGTGTAATATGCCTCTGGTCAGATCTTGTAGAATTATGTCTCAGTTGCTCTCGGGGGTTGGCAAACTATGGCCCACCATCTGTTTTTGTAAATAAAGTTTATTGGAACACAGCCATGCTTATTTCTTTACATGTGGTCGATGGCTGCTTTTGCATGGCAAAAGCAGCGTTGAGTGGTTGCAACAGAGACCATATGGCCTGCAAAGTCTAACATATTTACTATCTGGTCCTTTACAGAAAAAGTTGCTGACCCCTGATCCAGACTGTGGTGGTATGAGCCTCCCATCCCTGGAGGCTGGGGCTCCTTAACAGAGCACCCACACACCTGGAGGTTGACCTTGATAGTAAGTACATATCATGTAGCATTTAACTTTTAGGAATTTATGTATATATACTCAGAACAAAAAAAGAGATTAAAAAATGATTCAGTGTAGGGATTTCAGTCTCCTACCACTCCATGAGCACATAGCTAAAAAGATCAGGAGCTACATGGGGATTGTGAATCTGCTGTTCCCTCAGTCACCATCCCTATGTGCTTCTCCCTGTGTGAGCAGCTCACTGTGCTGGGTGTGATTCTAGTGTTTACTCTTCAACAAGCCATGTTGGGTCAACCAGGTAGACATTCAGAAGAAAATAGAGCTGGATCCAAAGCTTACATTTAAACAAGGCAAATGCCCCTCAATCAGGGACTGAGAAACTTCTCCCCTGCCCGAGGAGGCCGCTGGCAGGATGGTCGGGTTGCACACCTTGTGGGACTCAGAGACTTCAAGGAATTTGGGTATCATGGAGCTGGTCTGCAGCAGGTGGAGCCCTTGGCTGGACAGAAGGCACCCACCTTGGGCTTCTCAAATGTGTATCTCTCAGAGCCAGCCAGGAAATGGGGCTAAAGCAGGTGGTCTAGGATGGAGCAGGCTAGCGGCTCACATAAGGTGAAGCCTCAGGAGCGTATCTTGTCCTAAGCAGACCACACCCTGTCAGGCCAGGCGGTCAGGCAAACTGTTGTTCGTTGGTTACCGAAAGATGGCTGGGGCACTGCACAACTTAATGACCATGACAGTGGGTCACCTCAATCGCCCAACCCGCCCTGATCCACAGAACCTCCAGAGGTCCTCATTTTGGAAGATGAAGCCATTCCTGTTTGAAGTCGACAACCGGAGACTCTAAGGGGAACGGAAAGGGAGAAAGTCGGAGGTACTTTGGACCCAAGCTGGTGTCAATATCCTTGCGGGGGCTCAATCTCAGACCCTGAGAAGTATTAATTACAACAAACAACGAAGCACTTTATGTATATTAACTCCTGAACCTGGGTGAGCCCCCTATGAGGGGAATATTATTATTATTCCCATTTTACAGATGAGGCACATAATAAATTGTAGATTTCTTCAAAGTCATAGGCCCAGGAAAATAGGGTCCAGGGACCCCAGGGGCCATAACAAAGGCTGATGGCTAAAACGTGCTAAGGGGGAATGCCATTCCTTGGGGATGGTTCACCATCTCTAGTCAGATGGTGCAGGAGACAACAGCAGTGGGTCAGTGATCACCTCAGCCTCAGCAACACAGCCTGGGGTGTCCCCAGGCCCTCATGGCAAGTTCCTGGAGTCAGAGGGCAAGGGAGGGAGCTACATTTCCTGAGTCAGTCTCCTTAGAAGATCTTTTCAATTGCTCCAGACCAGCCTTGTGCTACAGCCCGCAGGGTCGTCTGAGGCCTGATGTCTCTCAGCTCCCCAACTTGGGGGCATAGACTGTTGGCTCTGGCCCCGCACTCACAGGCTCTGGCATGGAGGGCATAGAAGGTGGGGCACTTGGTAGTTCTTTCTGACTGGCTGTAACCCCAGAGAGGGTGGTGGCACGCTGGAGAGTGGCCAGGCCCACTGTCTGGCTTGCAACACGCCCACCATGGGAACCCAATTGTAAGACCCACTCTGCCCCTCTAGTTTTCTGGGTGGGAATGTCCACAAGCGGGTGTGGGACGGACATCCAACACAGCTACTTTTAGATAGATACCAGGCTTGTAGCTACCAAATATGGAAGGCTGGGAATTTTGAAGACTATGACCAGTTCAACCTGGAGCCCGGTTTCCTGAGTCCAGCCAAGGACAGAGACCTCAAGGCCTAGTTGTTCAGTTCTTTGGGTGCCATCTTGGGCCATCTCTCTACCAGCAGGTCCACCAAACGGATGCGTTGCTCAGATTCATAAGAGCTGAGGAGTGTCACGGACAGATGGCCACCAGCAGAAGCAGGACCCGTGTGCCCTGCCAGGGGAGAGAGAGGAATGTGAAGCTCTCCCAGGGGTCTGCAAACCGGTCTCCCGTCTTACCTTGGCCTGCAGTGTGCTATGGGACCACTAAGTGGCACTGTTGGGTCACAGGAAGCTCTGAGAAACCAGGCCATCTTCTAGCCCCAGCCTTCTGGGGGTGAGAAAGCCCCTAGGGGAACCCTGTGGTGTTCTGGGAATGTTTGGGATTTCCCTCCCTGTCAGGAAGGATCTGTTCTAGTCAGTCATAGAGGCCTGGCCTGGGCACCTCATGCTAGCTGTTGCCAAGAGTGATGCAGAGAGACAAAGAACAGAGGCCTAACGTGGCCCTAGCTTGATTCCAGGCACCAGACCCTGGCCAATTAGCTGGACCAAGCAAGGGGTAAGACCAAAATGCAGAAGCAAGCAGGTGTGGAACCGAAAGGAGCCAGGCAGGAGGCTGGCCAGAGCAGGGGAGGACAGGGGTTTGGAGGCTGTCTTGGCTGCTGGGTTCAGAGGTTCTCTGGGATGTTTTAGGAAGGAAGTATGTGTTAATTGGGGTGAGGTGCTGATAGAGGACCCAACACAGAACAAACAGCCCAAACAGGAGATTGGTTGTTATGTTTGACACCTCCCTCTCACTTTTCCTCATCCATGTCATCCCCAAGTTCTTTCATTTCTATCTCCTATTACCCTTTGAATTTTTCCACTTCTATCCAACTTTACTACCTCTGCCCTAGTCCAAGCCTCCATCATCTCTCCTTGATGGCTCTAAGCTAAGGTTGCCAGATAAGGTATGGGATGCCCAGTTAAATTTGAATTTTGAATGCATAAAGAATAAATTTTAGTATAGCACATACAATATTTGGGATAGACTTACACGAAAACTTGTTGTCTATCTGAAATGCCAATTTCAGTGGGCATCCTGTTTTCTCTTGTTTCTACATCTGGCAACCCTCCCAAGAGCCTCCCCAGCCTTACACTTCTACAACCCATTCTCTACGAAGCAGCCAGAATAAACTCGCAAAAATTCAAATCTAACAATGTCACTACCCTGCTCAAAGCCTTTCAAGGATTCCTGATCACTTAGGGATCAGGTCGAAGCCTTCCGTGTGGCACGCAAGGCCCTCCGAGGCCTGACCACCAGCCAGCTCTTAACTTCGTCTCCTGCTGGCCCTCCAAATGCACACTACGGCTGCAGCAAATGAAACATTCTATAGTCCTTACATGTGACCCCATGCCTTCACATATACCCATCTCTGTCCAGAAGGCCTTTCCCTCAGCCACCTAAAGAACTCAAAGTCAGTCAGCAAACTCAACCCCCACCTCTTCTCGCCAAGCTCTTCCTGCCATGTCCCCTGCCTCCCCTAAGCCAAGCAGTCCCTCTTTGTGCCACATAACGACCCTGAACAGAGCACTTATTTAAATGCATCAAGATGGTTTCCAGCGACAGTGACGCAAGATGGCAGCGATGCAAGATGGCAGCCACCACGGGCTTGGACAATTTATGAAAACCGAATATACAGCCTTAAAATAGAATGTGGACCTAAATACCCAGAAGGACCTCTCTTTGTAAGATTTGTAACAAAAATTAATATGAATGGAGTTAATAGTTCTAATGGAGTGGTGGACCCAAGAGCCATATCAGTGCTAGCAAAATGGCAGAATTCATATAGCATCAAAGTTGTCCTGCAAGAGGTCCGGCGCCTAACGATGTCTAAAGAAAACATGAAACTCCCTCAGCCGCCCGAAGGACAGTGTTACAGCAATTAATCAAAAAGAGAAACCACAGGCCCTCCCCCCCCATTCGATTAAAGCATTTTCCACAGTAGTACATTTTCTAGTTACATCTTATAGACCTCAAAGTACTGGAAAGGAAGCTCCCATTCAAAGGCAATTTATCTTAAGATACTGTAAACGATACTAATTTTTTGTCCATTTGAAGTATAAAAGTTGTGCTATAAAAAATAAATAAATAAATAAATGCATCAAGATGATCTCTTGGTATGTCTATCTGCCCCACTAGACTACAGCACCCTGCAAGGAGGGGTCTCTGTACTATCCATATTTGTACCCACAGTGTACGGCACAGCGCTTGGCCCAGAGTGGGGCACTCAATGCGTGAGGCACGAATGAATGGTTGAAGGAATGAACGTAAGTGATTCTAAATCTCCTGAAATCTTGATGGACCACTGGCAGTGACAGCAGTGACAGAAGGGGACACCAGGGGGCAGAATTACCTTAGTTTTGTTTGGCTTGTTGGGAGTGGTACAGAAAGCTGCCTCCTTGGCGCTTCCCCCTCCCCCTTTTCCCCTGTGGGAAAGCCGGTCTGTTCTGGGCCTGCCCAGCTCAGTCAGAGTTGGCTGCCCTGCTAGCTCCAGATCCCTAGATCCTCAGTACCCAAGCCTAGAATATCTTCGTGGACCTGAAAGGTTCTGCGAATCCCAGGGAAACCCTGGGCCCGGCCCAGGCCCCGTGGCAGCTGCAAACAGGACTGGGATGAAGGTGAGGCGGGTGAGGTGCCTAGGGTGCAGAATTTAGGGAGGCGCTCACCCACTGCAGGGCCCAGGCAAGTGCAGAGTCAGCACCTGACAGTGAGCGCCTCCTGACAATTCGCGCCCTGGGCGCCTCACCTGCCTCGCCCCGGCCCTGGCCCTGGGCACAGCACTGAAAACTGAGACCTTGTTCTCCATCCGGCTGCCAGGCCAGCCTGACCCCAGAGGGGCCACAAGGAGGTAGGGGCTGCAGGAGCTCTTTGAAGGCAGGTCTGATGGATGGCAGGTACTCAGGGATAGTGTTCCACGCTGTGTAACTGGTTCATCGTAGTCTTAACTCGAGGGGCTACAGACGTACAATGATTTTCTTTTTCTTCAGTCACTATCCCCAACTTGGGAGGGGTCTGGAGGCTTCAAAGTTCCCTGAGGTGGGAGAAGCTATTCAGAAGCTATTCAGTCACTACTTCTTCCAACCAAGCCCCCTGCCCTCATGCCTTACACACTTATACACCCCTGCTGCTCCCAGGGTCCCCTCGCCCAGTGGCCAGTCCTCTTGGGTAGTATAAGGTAAAACAGCTCAAACCTCACTACCTTCTGAGGCAACCACTTGACCTGAGGAAAGTGCCATGAGTCTGCCATGCAAGCAGATGTCCCACCAGGAATGAGATGCCATTCTCCTCTCCTCACTGGCCCCCCAATCTTAATGGCTTTCTCTTGGAACCCCCTTAGCTGGTTGGGGGTCTGCAGGAGGGAGAATCTACAGCACCAGTCCAAAGTTTCCTGATCCCAATGATGCCCCCCTTTCTGCTTACATAGACGGGGAGGGGAGGGGATTGGGAGCAGTGGAGTGGTGGCCCCCTACTGCTGGAAGTCCCTTAGCAGTTCTCATCTGACATTTGACCTCAGCTTTAGGTCCTAGTAACCCATCCTAGGCCTACAGGAGAAGTCCCACTCACATCCTGCTGAAAGTCAACTGCATAACTCTGCATGCCTTGGCTCCGGCTCCCAAGGATCAGAGATAAAATGAGGGCCTTTATTGACCCCAGCTATTTTCAACTGGGCAGAAATGAGGCTTAGAACACCATCGTGCCAGGGGAGGAGGAAGGGATTAGCTGGTGCCCAATTTGCAAGTGAGAGGCGCCTTGGGGTAGCAAAAAGAGCAACTGGTCGTCATTCATTGGATGCGGCCTTGCGCAACTCATGGACCTATCCCAGCCTCTGTCTCTTCATCTGTAAACTGAGGATAACACAGATGTCTCAGGAATGTAGTAAAGATCCGATGACACCAAGTATGTAGAAGCCCTATATAAACTGTAAAGTGCAGGTCAAAAGAGAAAGGCTAATTATTAACCAGTTAGAAGAAACTGTCCCTACCCTCAAGAGCTTATGGGGATTGGGGAGCAATTCAAAACATATGGTAAATGGAGGCTGAGCTGTCAGGAGCAGGAGAGAGTACTGGTTATAGCAGGGGTCTTTGAATCTGATAGGCCTGGGTTCCAGCTTTGCCCCGTACAAGCTATGGGACTTTGGGTAGATTGCTTCCCCTCTCTGAACCTTGGTTTCCTTGGGTGTAAAGTAGGGATAATAACACCTCCCTCGGGATGTAGGAGGATCAGATGAGATACCACACAAGAAATATGAGCTACTGGAGGGCTTTGTACGTCGTGGTATACAATTGATGTTGGTTATAGTTATTATTATTAAAAGATCAGCAGGCATGACAGTGGGAAGGGGGAGTCAGGGAAGTTTTCATAGGAAAGATCAGGCTTGAACTTGGCTTTGAAAAAGGAGAATTTGGGAGGTCAGATGGGAGAAATGTCTTGCCAGGCATTAAAAAAAAAAAAAAAGCCAAGGCCCCAAAGTTCACTTCCATCCTTTCTCATGGATGGTTTGCAGAGATGGTCATACGGGTAGCCCAGACCAAGAGGGGCATACCAGTGAGAAGTCACAGGGACCCTGGAGGAGTGAAATGACTCTCTTGCTCCCGATGAGATTCAAATCCCCTCACAGGCAGAGGAGGGATCACCCTGGGCCAAGCTGTGTAGTCTGCCTCCAGTTTGTGACCCAGCATGGCCCTGAGACCCCGGGCCTGTCCCTTTTCCTGAGAAATCAGTCCTTAAGAAAGTGTCTCCTCCTGGGGTGCCTGGGTGGCTCAGTCGTTAAGTGTCTGCCTTCAGCTCAGGTCATGATCCCAGGGTCCTGGGATCGAGTCCCGCATGGGGCTTCTTGCTCAGCAGGGAGCCTGCTTCTCCGAGACCTCTGCCTGCTGCTCCCCCTGCTTGTGTTCCCTCTCTCGCTGTCTCTCTCTCTGTCAAATAAATAAAATCTTAAAAAAAGAAGTGCCTCCTCCTTTTTTTCATGAAGATGGTGCCAAAGGTGAAGAAGGAAGCCCCAGCCCCTCCCAAAGCTAAAGCCAAAGCCAAAGCATTGAAGGCCAAGAAAGTGGTGCTGAAAGGCGTCCACAGTCACACACACAAAAAAAATCCACACATCAGTTACCTTCTAACGGCCCAAGACACTGTGTCTCTGAAGGCAGCCCAAATATCCTCGAAAGAGCACCCCCAGGAGAAACAAGCCTGACCACTATGCCATCATCAAGTTCCTCCAACTACCGAGTCAGCCATGAAGAAAATAGAAGACAGCACCACACTTGTGTTCACTGTGGGTGTCAAGGCCAACAAGCACCCCCTCAAACAGGCTGGGAAGAAGCTCTATGACACTGATGTGGCCAACGTCAACACCACGATCAGGCCTGATGGAGAGAAGAAGGCATGTGTTTGCCTCCTAACTGTGATACTTTGGATGTTGCCAACAGAATTGGGATTGTCTAAACTGAGTCCAGCTGGCTAAATCTAAATATAAATTTTTTCACCACACACACAAAAAGAGAAAATGCCCCCAGGTTGTCACAGGACAAATGACTGAGCCCTTGAAGGGAACTGGTATGCATTTCAGTGGAGGCTTCCTGGAGACCATGCCTTATCTCTCACGTTTCCCAGCTGCTTGGTAGCTGGGGCTCTTGCTTTCTTACATGAAACCTCAATGGATTCCTTGAGCCGTTTACATCTTCATTGTGGGCTGAATCCCAGGACCCAGGAAGCACAGTTTGCATCTGTCTGAATACCCAGGACTCACTGGTGCTGGTGGCACTCATCTGCTTTGGCCCTACGGTGTTTGGATGAACAGGATATATATATCATGTCCTTTTCTCTGCCACCGTGCATTGGTCAGGATTGGCTAGTAGTAACGCCCTAGTAACACAGAAACCCTGAAATCTTGGTGGTTTAACACAGGAAAGGCGTCTTGTTCACACAACAAGCTGAGCTCTCTGGAACATGTGATCTTTGAGATCGCCATAGCAGGGAGGAGAGAGATGAAGAAGCATGTGTCTAAGTCAGGTTGGGCTGCCATGACAAAATGCCGCAGATGTGGGGGCTTAAACAACAGAAATGTATTTTCTCATAGTTCTGGATGCCAGGAAGGCCAAGATCAAGGTGCTGGCCAATTCAGTTCCTGGTGAGACTCTCTTCCTAGCTTGCAGACTGCCACCTTCTCACGGGCATCCTCACATGGCAGGGAGACGGGGAGAGGAAGGGAGAGACAGAGACAGAGAGATCACTTTCATGACCTCATTTGATCTTAATTACTTCCTTAACACAAATACAGCCACACTGGAGGACTGGAGGTTAGGGCCTCTTAACTACCTCAGCCCAGAAATGGTGCACACTACTTCTGATGACCCTCCCGCCTTGGTCAGAAATAGTCACGTGGCTCAAACTTAACTGTAAGGGAGGCTGGGAAATGTGGGGGAGCATATGTATTTGTTGAGCACGATCTTTGCCACACACTCTCTTCTGGGCTGAGCTTTGCTGGAAAAGGAAAGTCTTAATGGTCAGAAGAATAGCTCTGAGATATAAGGAGGAAAAACACACGGCTGGGACTGTCTACCACGTAGGTTCAAAGAACCAAGACCTGGAACCTGATTCTGAATAGAATTTTCAGGGGTGGGCGGGGGAGGGTAGGAAGCTTGTCCCTGTGTTTGGTATATTTTGAGCTTTACTATGTCCTACCCAGGATGTAAACAAAATGTTTCATCACAGATATATCAATAGATGCTCAGGAAGTTCCAATGAACTGCGCAGAGACCAAGCTTTTGATTCAACTTCTAAAAATTGATATATTGAATGTCCCTCCACCAAGCTCTGTTTCTTAATTTTTTAAAAAATCATTTAGGGGGCCCCTAGGTGGCTCAGTTGGTTAAGCATCCAACTCATGATCTCAGTTCAGGTCTTGATCTCAGGGTC